CCCTCCAAAATCCTTGGTTACCAAATTGTGCTTGGTTAGAGCCTGCTTTGTCCAGCGCTTTATATCATAGGCTCTTTTGAAGGGTTTCTTCTCCTTGCCAAGTCTTCTCTTTGTTATGGCAATGGCAAGATCGTTTGGAAACAATGTGTGCCAAACAAAGGCATGAAGAAGCGTGCACACGAACAATACTGACACCATAGCCGATGACATGAGAGAAAGAGTAACTGCAAGGCCCTTGCTTCCAACTGACGGTACTTGTTCTGCATACTTGATGGTGGCTACTGAGAAAGTTGTCATTGGAAAGGTGTAAGACCACCAAGCCACTGAAAATCTGCAAAAGGATGAGCTATTGGTTAGATGAAATTATGTTTCAACGTCCGGTCATGATTAATAGTTTGATAACATAACATGTCAAACAAAGTAGCTTACCTAAACCCTGTGAAGAAATTGATCCTTACGACTAGAGAAACATACAGAAACAATGCAATGAAGTAGCAGGTCTTCGACACCCCATCAAACTCCCCGTAAATAGTTTCCCAAGCAATGCTTGCAGCTGAAGGGGCTGCAATGAACATGGAATACACAGGGTGTAGCTCCTTAGGCAATGCTTCACTAGTAGGCAATCTCTGATACAAAGTCACAAAAACCACAAGATAGTGTGCAAAGCCAACTGCCCACAAAAACTTGGCAGCCTCATCCCACCCAGCCTTGGCAGCCAAAATTGCCCCCACAAAATTCCCAACTACTGAGAGATGAGAAGATGGATTGGCAACCTTAGAAAGCCTTCTCTTCCCACCTGAAAGCCACTGTCCATAGATCTTTAGCTCAAGAAGAAAATAGGGTGCCATGAAAGTGCACCAAATGAAAGGTTGAAGTTTTTCTGGGGCTATTGCAGGTGGTACACCAAGGGTTAAGAACATGCAGACAACCCAAGGAGCAAAGAAGAAGTTGACCCGAACTGGGTGGAAGTACTCTCTTTTTACTGCTTCAAGGTAGAAGACGCATTTCAGGATGTAGGTGAAGGAGACACAGAGCAGGACTGGCACTGCTAATAGCCAGAGGGCAAGGTTTATGAAGGGTGAGATATTGAGAAACCTGGTGGCTGGGCTGGTGGCCAGGGCATGCCATAACACAGCTTGGCTGCTAAGGCCAAGACAAATACCAAAGCATCCAATTGGAAATCTGAGGAGAAAGGGCCATTTCTCATCTTTTGGGAGGAGAATATCCTCATCATCCTGCAAACCATATAGTAACTCATAAATTAATTAGTTAAGATAAATCTGGTAAATAATAGTGATCAATATACATATACAGATATTGTTCTCTTGTTGGATAATTTGATATGATATGTTGTCAGTGTTAATTTGAGTCATTGAAGAGGCTGATTCTGATTTAAATGTATGATGTTAGATTGACAATTTGGCAACATAACGAGTCGGATATCTAAAAAATGACTGAAAGCGATTTCGAATCACTTCTATCAAATGAGTAAAGTTATATTAACATATGAAAATGTTGGAACAATTAGTTCAACACTAGACATTGGAACCTGCTTTGATCAGTGTGTTACCTTGACTTGGTCAAGTTCAGGTCCTCTAAGCGCAGCAAAGTATCTCCCAGCAGGAACACTGTGATTAACAGATTCATCAAGTCCTCCTCCATTGCCATCAGTGGTCCTCTGAGACTCCATCTGATCTCTTTCCTTCTTTGGTGGCAACACAGAGTTCTGCTTACTCAGAGTTGATGATTTGGTCTTGAAAATACTGAAGTCTCCTTTCCTTGCTTCCATGCCAAGCCTGCTACTCGAATCGAAGCCTCCGAAACTTCTTCCACTCCTGGGCAGATTAACCCTCTTCTCATCTTTAGCCTTGGACTCTTTTTTAAGCACTGAAAATCCAGTCTCCAGTGAAACTTGCCTATTGAAACTCCCATCACTTCTCTTCATCTTTCTATTGATTTTAAGGGTTCTGCTAAATGGGTTCTCTCTGCTAATACTCCCTTCTTCTGCTTCTTCTTCTTCTTCGTCTTCTTCTGGCAAGACTTCATGGATATCAATAAAATGAGACTTGAGGAAACTTGGAGAAGGTGGTCTTTGATCCATTTTGCTTCTGCTGATGCTAGAGTGAAACTAAGACTTAGTTCTTGGACTAGTTTGCTTAGTTCTTGGACTAGTTTTCATGTTAAGTCTCATATGTTGTTTATATTTGATATTTTGTTGGAAGCTTGTTCCTTTTGTACTTTTTAGGTGTCTTCACAAAAAGTGGGAAAATTAGAAGGTACGTGGGTTCTGCTTGTGGTGGGTTTGGACGATGAAATGGAAGCCAACACTTTTCTTGAGAAAAAAGTGGGTTTTTGGAGGGACATCCCGTGAGGGAAAATCAAATGATTTTTACTTGATTATGACATTGAGAGTAATAACTATGACATGCAAGGAAGGATAAAAGCTTTGAATATTTTGTGGCTTAAGATCTCAATAAAATTGTTTGGTCTTTTCAGGCCCAAACAATGCCATTTCCGGCCCAATTTCAAAGTGGGCAAAATGTAAAAACTTTTATTTTTTTATTTTTTTATTTTTAGAAGCACTAATATCAGACCATGCAATAACAAAATGGTGCCAATCGTTTTACGCGTTTAATAATGAAAAATTGCCATGAAAATTGATTGATGGAAGAAGGTCCTAATACGCCGCAGAGGCAGGCCTCTGAGAAATTTGTTATTAGTAAAAAAAACAAAATTGAATACATAGCTCAAACAAAATTAATCTTCTAGTAGTCATGCTTTGCTTACCAATTAATATTATAATTACATTGTAATTTGAACCATACAATCTTTCAATGCCATTCGGCAGTGGCAGTGCCGTTCCTAGCCAAACCAAATCCTACATAAATTGGCAGCATTTGAACTCATTTTGACAACCAAATCAACTGAGCTCATCTTCTCAAAACAACCAAGGTTCATAGAAATTCCGAAGCCAACACTCAAAACCAGTTGAAATGGCCTATAATTCCCAGCTCTTCATTATCCTTGCCACTCTAGCACTAGTTGCCCCTTCTATTTTGGCTACTGAATTCATTGTTGGTGATGACAAAGGCTGGACCATCAACTTTGACTACCAAGCTTGGGCTCAGGGAAAGCAGTTCTATGTTGGTGACAAACTTGGTAATTACATTATGAAGCACTCCACAAACTTGCAGTTTATTTATTTTCCCTTTTTTTCTTTTTAATATTTTACTTTAAATTAATCTAAGTTACGGGGAGGGATTTGAATTCGGGTGCAGAGTCTCTCTAGCCAACTTGGCTAAGCTCATGTCCCCTTTTTTTAGTATTTAATCTTTGGTCAATGAACTAATTCAAGACATTGTGATTTGGTTTTGGTGCAGTTTTTAACGATCCAAAAGGAGCTCACAACGTGTTCAAAGTGAATGGGACTGGTTTCCAACAATGTGCAGCTCCATTAGACTCTGTGCCATTAACAAGTGGAAATGACGTGATCAGCCTTGCAACCCCAGGGAGAAAATGGTACATTTGTGGTGTTGCCAAGCATTGTGCACTGGGGGACCATAAACTTCTGATAACTGTGCTGCCATCTTCTTTTGCCCCTAGCCCAAGTCTCACTGCCTCAAGCCCTAGCACCTCAATCCCCTACACCTCTGCAGCAAGTGCGAGTCTTGGAACAAAATATGGGTGGATGATGGCTGTTGTTGGCATTCTTGGGATGCTCATGGCTTAATATTTGGACTAAGGTCTCATCATTGTTTCTGTGTATTTGATTAATTCTTTACTGAAATAATAAGTGTAAGTTCTGAAATGGATTTGTGACACACCTACCACTATTTATATGAATGATTTATCACATTTGGATCTTAAAGAAATATTCAAGGCAGTTTTCTTATTAATTTTGACCAACACATAGCTTTATACCGTGAGATATACATTGCATAATTTCATTGAACATGCAAAATATACATGGATGTTACCAACTTGACTTTGCTTGCACTTGACTCCATGATTTTCATGATGCAGTGCTTGGCATCCTACACAATTCTCTTTTGTGACATAAATTATATCAAGGCTAATTATACCGCTGCCCCTAAAGTCATCAAATCACACATTACCTTTAGAAAGTGACAATAATCCACCTTACCTATGTTTAATATTATTCGAGTTACTAAGAGAGGGGGTTGTATTGCCTGAATGTGGAGAAATTATTGTATGATATTAGAATGTGGCCACATGGTATAATGATGTTGGCTCTCGGCTTACCATGTGAGAGGATGCATGACAAAGAAGAAGAATCAAATGGTTGTGGTACTTTTACCCCCCAAAAAAAAGTATGGTTGTGGCACCCTTCATTCATCATCTTTGTTTTTGAATTTTAGTGATTCACAATTTTCTACATAAGCGATACTGAGAAGGGGGAATTCGAATACAGGATATCGGGTATAAGGATAACTGCTCTTAACCACTTAAGCTATAAACCCCTTGCTTAGTAATTCACAATTTAAGTGTGACACTTATGTCATGGCAAAGAACACCATGTACCAACTAATAAAGGACAGTGTGTACCCCGTGACCACAATGAGTTGGTTACAGATAACCCACATATCACATCACTTTTTTACTGTCTATGTCTTTTTTTTAGTAGTGTTTTAAATTTTGGCCTAACACAAAAAGCAACCAAATCAAAACCAAATCTAAAAGACACTACAACCAACCCGAACATCGAGTTTCGTGCTCTTATATTGCTGTCCTGTTGTAAGGGATGTTCTCTATTGATTCGATCAAATTGAGGTGTTAATTACAATTCAAGTTAATTTTCTTCCAACAAATTGAAGTGTTTTCCATTTAATTGCAGTGTGCAAGGGGTGAAATCACAAGAGAGAATGAGGGGATTAATCAGATAATCATACATATAACGATCGAAATTGTGGTTTGTAATATAAAGTTTGAGAAGTCATGGTTTTTCACATCTGATAAAATTCAAGTGAATTTATGCAACCTATAGCGACAGACGTTATCACAAGCTAGACTATAGAATATAAGCTAGTTGGCTTGATGGGGTTACATTAAAAGAAAGCAAAGGTGGTTAGCTACGAACTATTGTTTTTCGAAAAGGGAAAAATTAAAATCTTTAGGCACTTTGTCCTCCCTTACCCTTGCCCATGGCAATGCCTTCCTCTTTAATAACATACTTACGCCAATATGGATGATTTTCCCACACAGTGTGCATTTCTTCAATCGGAACTCCTTTCGTTTCAGGCAACAATTTGTAGATGAAAATGCTCATCACCACTACACAGACAGAGAAGAAGAAGAACAAGCCAAACTTCATGTGGCAGAGCATGGCTGTGAAGACTTGGGCTATGGCAAAGGTGAAAATCATGTTGACGGAGACATTGATAGCCTGAGCAGCAGACCTTACTTCAAGTGGGAAAATTTCACTGGGCACCAACCATCCTAGAGGGCCCCAAGACCAAGCAAATCCAGCCACGTAAACACAGATTAAGACCACCAAGGGAACTGCAAACCCTAGTGTCAACTTTCCAGGGTTGCCGCTGACCCCAAATTTAACAGCCATAGCAATTCCAACACCCACCTAAAAATGCCAACAAAAGAAGAAAAAAAACATAAAATTCAGGTTCTTTTTTTATTATTTAAAATTATGAAATCTAAGGAAGTAAAACATATAAATAGAAGAAAACAAAACAAAACAGGGAAAGAAAAAAGGAACTTGAATTATACCTGCATGAGGAGCATTTGGCAACCACCCTGTAAGAAAAGCTTCCTCCTTCCAACCTTATCAACAGTGAGAATTGAGACAAATGTAGCTAAGGCATTAACGAGATTGGTGATGACAGCTGACATGAGAGAAGCACTGCTTCCAAACCCCATTGTTTTGAACAAGACAGGAGCATAAAACGTGATCACGTTCATGCCGGTGAGTTGCTGGAAGGCGGGGATGCCGATTGCAAACACAAGCTGGGGTCTATATTTCCTGCTCAACAAGCTAACCCATGGGTGTTTTACCAACTTGGATGCTTCACTGGCCGCAACTAGGTCATTAAACTCCTCATCAACATTAGGAACTCCTCTGAGCTTAAGAAGCTGAGATTTGGCTTCCTCATGCTTGCCACGCTCGACCAAGGAGTTTGGTGTATCAGGTAAAAACAATGCTCCAACTATGATTATAATGGCAGGGACTGCAGCACCTCCCAAACTCAAACGCCATCCCCCACCGCCTTTGATCTTGGCAAAGAAATAGTTAAGCACACCAGCAGCAAGGATTCCAATCGTGATCGACAATTGGAACATCATGTTTAGAGCACCACGGTATTTAGATGGGGCTGTTTCAGAGACATAGATCGGCACAGACTGCGCAAAAAGAATAAAAATAAATAAATTAGGGTTTGTAAAAAGTACGCAAAATAACAAATTGGGAGTACAAATAACCTAAAATTCATAAGTATAATCTATGTATCAAAAAAAGAAAATCATAATCATGGGTACCTGATTGGCACATCCAATACCAAAACCAAGAAGCAGGCGACCAACATAAAGCATCCAAACAGCATTAGCAAAGGCATTGACCAAGGCACCAGCCAAGAAAAGAACTCCACCCAAGATCATTGTGAGCCTGCGACCACACACTCTGGTTATAGTTGATGCAAAAACGCATGCAACTAGAGCAGCCAAATATAGCGAAGATGTGAAAAGTGTAAGTGTCTGGCTATCGAATTTGCAGTACTGATCGTCGGAAGGCTTGATCGAAGACTCTTTCTGGTAAACCGGTGGAAAGAACTGTTTCAAGAAAGAGTCCATGGATGTAACACCGCCTACATAATCACCAAATCAAATTCGATGTCATGTATATTCTTATAAGTACATGGTAATTCTAGAAATTAAAGGATACATATATACATAAAATAAAACTGGGTTGTGAAAAAACAAAATGTTACATACCTGAAACTCCAAGGTCGTACCCAAAAATCAGACCACCGGTAGCCGCAACAATACATGTTATAAGAACCCTAGCTGTGAGTTTACCAGGGTATTGTTTTCCACCACTCGATGGAGCTATACCGCCCCCAGCCATTGTTACCTTCTTCTAACTCTTTTCTATCTCTTTCACTCAAAAATCAATCTAAGAAAGCAAAGAAAATTACTTGAAGCAACAAAAATTGAACCAGAGAAAACAACTTGGAAGGATCGATGGAATTAAGCGTACAAAATTAGGTGGGTTTGATGAAGTATTTATAGTTCAACACCTCCTGTGTCTAGCAGGATTACTAGTACTAGTTAGATAATGAGAGTCTATCAACTTAATCTTATCCGCATTTGTCAACCTAATTAAAATCCTAACTGATTTTGATATCCGGATCAAGTTTAACTTAAATTGTATAATCCAAACAGTAAAATCATGAAAGGAGTTGGACACTCATCCTCAATTTCCTTAACTTAGTTATTTTTATTTTCTTTTATTTTCTTTTTTGAAGACAACTACATAACATTTTCAACTAGGGTTAATTATCAAGCTGTCATTAAATTATTTAATTATACACGGATTCAGTTATTATTAAATTATTAAATTATCTTAATTTTTTTTTAAAATTTATTAAATTATGTATCCTTAAATTCCTTCACGCGTTGCATTTTAGTCATTTTATTGTTAAATTATTTATTTTTACCTAGTATATGGTTTATCTTTTAGGGGTAATATAGACTTTTCGCCAGGCAATGCTGAAAGCCGTGGTCAAAGTGGAAACCCAGTTCAAATTAGCTGAGGATCACCTTAAGCAATCCGCGGAAACTCACACAGAGAACTAAAATTCCTATTTGCAATACTTGATTCGATCTTGTTCATTTCCTATTTGTAATGTAATGATAAACAATATAAAAAATGTTCATGAAAAATAATCGATGGAAATTATTTTGACTAGGCGTTGATGGTTGTGAAGGGTATGTGCCATTTTGACGCGTCAAGAAGTTTCTAAATCTTTTAATAATGGCGAGTCATATACTTTGTTTACTACGTGGTATCTAAAACTGAAATCTGACATTCGGCAGCAGGGCATTGCCGTCCCTGGCCAGACCCAATCATAGAGTCACATTGTGGTTGGTTCAAAAATCCCTCCCCAAATGGGCAAGCATTTGAACCCTCATCATCTCAAAACATACCTCATTCAATCACAGAACAGAACTAAGAAGCTATGGCCTCTAAATCCCAGCTCTTGATCATCATCCTTGTCCTTCTAGCAATTGTTGCCCCTTCAGTTCTGGCCACAGATTTTGTTGTTGGTGATGATAAAGGCTGGACCATCAACTTTGACTACCAAACTTGGGCTCAGGGAAAACAATTCTATGTTGGTGACAATCTTGGTAAGATAAAACAAAATGCTCTCCACAAACTTGCAATTGTTTATACTTTTATCTTTTAATAATATTTGGTGAAGGAAGGAACTGATTCTAAGACTTTGTGATTTAGTTTTGTTTCAGTTTTTAACTATCCGAAAGGAGCCCACAATGTGTTCAAAGTGAATGGCACACTGGCTTCCAGCAATGTGCAGCTCCATTAGACTCTGTGCCATTAACAAGTGGAAAGGATGTGATCAGCCTTGCAACCCCAGGAAGAAAATGGTACATTTGTGGTGTTGCCAAGCATTGTGAATTGGGTGGCCAGAAGCTTCTTATAACTGTGCTGCCATCTTCGTTTGCCCCAAGCCCAAGTCTCCCTGCCTCAAGCCCTAGCACCTCAATCCCCTATACCTCTGCGGCAACTACTACAAGTGCTGGAACAAAATATGGGTGGATGATGGCTGTTGTTGGCTTTCTTGGGATGCTCATGGCTTAGGGTTTCATAATTATTGTATTCCAAATATACCTTGTTGTTTATTCATTATTTCATTAATTTTTTCCTGTTATTTCATAAGACTAATTCATACACATTCTCTGTATTTCCAATCTTAAGGAAATTAAGGCACTTTTGTTATTCGGCGTTTAAAAAAATAAGATCAAAGATATACATGCATGGATGTTGCTCACTCACATGGCTGTTGTTGGCTTTCTTGGGATGCTCATGGCTTAGGGTTTCATAATTATTGTATTCCAAATATACCTTGTTGTTTATTTATTATTTCATTAATTTTTTCCTGTTATTTCATAAGACTAATTCATACACATTCTCTGTATTTCCACTAATTCATACACATGCATGGATGTTGCTCACTCACTTGACTTATTACCACACTCCATGCTTTTCATGGTTGAATAAATGTTATGCTATACAACTATTCTTTAATGGCATACATTTATCAGTTTTGACAAATCATGCCTCGATCATGTATCAATTTAAGCTAGCGGTACTTCTATTCTCAATGTTGTAAGAGATTCTAAATTCGAATCTCCTTTCTCTCATTAATAAAAAGGAATTCAATTTAAGCTAAATTCAATAAACATAAGACTAATTCATACACATTCTCTGTATTTCCACTAATTCATACACATGCATGGATGTTGCTCACTCACTTGACTTATTACCACACTCCATGCTTTTCATGGTTGAATAAATGTTATGCTATACAACTATTCTTTAATGGCATACATTTATCAGTTTTGACAAATCATGCAATTTAAGCTAGCGGTACTTCTATTCTCAATGTTGTAAGAGATTCTAAGTTCGAATCTCCTTTCTCTCATTAATAAAAAGGAATTCAATTTAAGCTAAATTCAATAACCCCCTTATACTAGGACTAAATCTCGATCATCGATTATATATATGAAACCATTACCAAAGTAACCACATGAACACTCAGCCAATCAAAATTTATTACTTTTATTAATTCACGCATGCCAATTGCCTTTTTCATAGTCTCCAAGATGGAGTGTGATTGATTTTTATTAAGACCTTTTTTTTATTGAAAGCAAATGAACCTCGAGATAAAAAGGGGCATGTGAGAGGAATTACTGGAAATTTGCAATGTCATTGTGTGGCATCGTTAAAACTTTGTTTTAAAAAACCCCCAAAAGAGGAAAATTCAGTCAAGGAAAAAGAATACCACTGCATGCCACAAAATTAAAACACCACCTAAGAGCATCTCCAACAGTAGTAGCAAATAAAACTCTTCAAATTGAAGTTTGTTGATCTACGTGGCAATTTCAAACAGTAGAGCATCTCCAACAGTAATGGCAAGGATAAATATTAATTAACGCGTTAACAAATTTGCATTTGATAATGTTGCAGAGGCAAATTCACGTTTGTTAGTGTTTTTAAATAGCTCCAAAAATAATAATAATATTTTTGTTGTATTTAACTCTAGCTGAAACCATTTCTTGCCATTCGGCAGGCTCAATGACTCAGTGCCGACCCATGGCCAGACTTGGAACTATTCTCCAAACAAGACTCTTGTTTTTTTTTTTTTTAGTCAAGTGAAACCACCCCTATAAATTGGAAGCATTTGAACTTATTTTTACAAGAAAATCCATTGATCTCATCATCTTAAAAAGAAACAATCCACAGAAACTAAAAACCAAACTCAACCCAATTCAATACTGCTAGTTATAATGGCCTCTTCCCAGCTCTTCATTATCCTTTCCATCCTAGCAATTTTTGTTCCTTCAACTTTGGCAACAGATTATGTTGTTGGTGACGACAAAGGTTGGACGATTAATTTCGATTACCAAGCTTGGGCTCAGGGAAAGTTGTTCTATGTTGGTGACAATCTTGGTAATTTAAATTCTCATTCCCAAACCTAACATTTTCTTTTCTGTTTTTTTTATTATTGGTATGATAACGAAACTCAAGATTTTCTTTTGTGATTTGGTTTTGATGCAGTTTTTAACTATCCAAAAGGAGCCCACACTGTGCTCAAAGTGAACGGCACTGGATTTCAACAATGTGCAGCTGCATTAGACAGTGTGCCATTAACAAGTGGAAAAGATGTGATCAACCTTGCAACCCCAGGGAGAAAATGGTACATTTGTGGTGTTGGCCAGCACTGTGAAGTGGGGAACCAAAAGCTTGTTATAACTGTTCTGCCATCTTCATCTTCATCTGCTCCTAGCTCAAGCCCTAGCTCATGGCCTAGTGCCACAGCTGGGCCAGGCCCCAGTACATCTTCAGCAACTACAAGTGCTGGACCAAGATTTGCTTTGATGATGGTTACTACTATTGCCTTTGGGATGCTCATGGCTTAGTATTCTTTTGTTGAGTATTTGATTGATTCTTTTGTTTTATTAAGTGTGACGTCTTAAATCCGTATGTAATACCAGAAACATTTATAATCCACATGATTTGTAATTTTGACTGAGTGTGAATTCAAAGCAATTTTCGTACGAAAACAATCGAAAGAGACATATATAAGTACCTCCCTCGCATGATCATTTTGTTTATTTAGCCTCGATTGACAATTTTTAAATTATAAGAACACCATTTGCAAAGTTGAAATCATATAAGATATCAAAGTGCATGAAAAGATTGTCCAAACTATGGTGACCAAAATCATCAATTCGACCTTATGCTTTTTAGCTTTCAATACTCTATTTCCTTTAATCATTTGAGCTTGTACGATAGTATTTGGTGCAGCTCGCCGCGGTATACGAGCTTGTAGTTGCTACTTTTTCTTTCGCTTACTCCTTTGAGTTGGTAGTATCTATGCCTTATTTATACCTATAGAGATCAACAGAATCATTAGAAGTTAATAAAAAGTTTTTGAGGTTAAAAGATATTCAAAGTCGTTAAATTTTTTACTGTAGAGGAACGAACTAGGTAGACATGAATGTTATTGCATACAAACCATTATGAAACCCTAGTTACTTGTGGTTCTTTCTCAATCTAAGCCTTTTATTATAAATTCAATATTATTTTGTATTTTTGAGTTTTACTATTAAACCCTGAACGCAGTGGAACTTCAAGTAAAAAGGGTGCAAATTTAAGATAGCTAAGAGATCGGTAAAGGAGTACGAAAGATGGAGTAATGAAAGATATAATATTGTGCATTTTTTGTTGGCATTTTATTATTTAATGCTAACACTTTTTCTGAAAGAAAGATGATAGGATTTTATTGAAGGATTATGACAATTTACAATCGACTAAAAGAGCATCCGATTAAATCTAGAGTCTCCTCAAACCAGAATATGCATGAAATAAAGCCAACTTAGCGAAAGGATAAGCCACAACA